GCGACCCACCCGCGACCCAGCAGCGACCCATTTGCGACCCACCCGCGACCGACCCACATTGGTTTAACGAGAAAATCGGCGTCTGTGGCGGGCGCGGGCTCGTTGCATAATTTGTGAAACTTTGGCGCCTGCGGCGGGCTTCTCCAAAGTCTCACAGACTGCTGACGCCCACACCGCCCCCTCGCTCTTATTCGCATATGCGGGGTGCTACGTGCAGAAGACAAATCATGATCAGATGGCTCCCTCCGGCATCCTTCGCCAAAAGTATCTGCCTCCATAGTGCACTTATTGTGGCATCGATCTGGTCATGCCTGGTGGAACTGCACTACTGGCATCAAGGCACGACCTGATGAGAACGACTCCACCGGGCCGTGTGTAATGACGCCGCGAGTGCGGCAGAATACGATTGCTGTGTAACAGTAACATATAGAAGAGCAGCCAGGTAGAGCGGCGACAAGGTGCCTGGTGCGCACACAAAAAGGGACTCAATCCCCTTCAACTTCAAGATGGTCTGTCCATCCCCAATCGAAATCTCATACTTGTCTTTGTCAAGCTTGACTTTTATCAACGTCCCGACCTCGCCGTTATGGACCTGTCACCCTTGTAAGAACAACCGCGAGCGCAACAATGCGTGAGCAGCATGAGCAACCACAAGCGCTCCGAGGTGAACTTGGCACAATCAATACCCAGAGAAGCCCGACTGTCGGCAACGCGTGTTTTGATCGAATGACTACGTTCTTGCCGCCAAACTACCTGACAAGAAGAAACCTCCTCGCAAGCATTCCTGACATCTCCTTCATGCTCTGCCTCCTCCCTTGCACAAGCAAATTACCAAACACTGCGGAGCCATCACAGACCACACCACAAAACTCAATTGCAAACCAGCGTGTGAAACTGATACGGTGGATCCCTTCATACGCTACTGCACACGCTCCAGAGATGCATGCACCACTCCTCCAAAATGGGGCGTTCGGAGAATCCCTGAACCGCTTTGAGCAAACCGCGCAACACTGACACCTCATGCGACATGTCCTTTAGAAAGAAGTCATCCGTGTCCATGTTGAAAAATCATGTCTCGATCTCTGTCCAATGCCCCCGTCCATCCTCACACCCGTGTCATTTGCTCTCTCTATTTCTCCCTCTCTCTCGCCCTCCCTTTCTCTGTTTTTGTGTTCTCTCTCTCTCTCTCGCCAGCCTTCTATTTCGAATACTGTTCGATATAAACGTGCGTTTGCGTGGCAACGCCGCGGAGGTAAACACACACGTGTTCTTGGCACGTGGCTCAACCGTGGACACGGACGACGACGACGACGCCGACGACGACGGCGACACGGACGACGGCGACGACGGCGACTGCGACGACGACGACGACGGCGACGACCACGACGCCGACGCCGACGCCGACGCCGCCGCCGCCGACGCCGACACCGCCGCCAACGACATCGACGACGACGACAATGACGACGATAATGACGACGACGACGACGACAATGACGACGACGATGACGACAACGACGACGACGATGATGACGCCCACTCGCCCGCGCGCCCGCCCGCCCGCTCGCGCAAGCGCCGCCGCCTCCTCCCCCTCCCCGTTCGTCCTCCACAATCTCCTCGCTACTCCCCGTTCTCCTCGTCCTTCTTCCGATCCTCCCGCCTCCCCCTCCTCCTTCCTCCTTCTCCTCCTCCTCCTCGTCCTCCTCCTCCTCCTCCTCTTCCTCATCCTCCTCATCCTCCTCCTCCTCCACATATTTGTTTGTCCTCCTACGCCTCCTACCCTCCTCGTCCCTCTTCCCTCTTCCCTCCTCCCTCCTCCCCTTTCCTTCTGCCTCTCCTTTCTTCTCCTCCCTCCTCACTCCTGCCTCTTCCCTCCCTCCTGCCTCCTCTCTCCTCCACGTCCTCCTGCTCCTTCCTCCCTCCTCCCTCCTGCCCCCCCTTCCCCTCAACCCACTCTTCCTGTACCAACCTCCACCCTCACACTACTCTCCATATCCGCACTTGCCTGCTAACTCCAGCTTTGCCCCAGAACATTTCCGGGCTTATATTTGGTGTTATAAGATTTGATTTTCACATTTCCAGGTTTGGTGCATTTCTGGGTTTGTCCACGAAATGTCTGGCTTAACCCTGGCAGTGTTCCATGCTTTTCCTCAGAATTTCAATAATTGTGTTTTAGAATGTACTGGCTTGTCCCATCAACTTCCGGGTTCGCTTTTCTGATCATTGCGACCATTGCCCGCAACATGGCCACGCTGGGAGGGCAAACGAACAATGTGATGTTCAATGGGCCACGTAGCACCGAAAAGAAAGGAAGACGTACCAGACTACGCTACGAGTCGTGTGGCAGCGCAGACGGTACAAACGAATAATACGTACTGTTCTGCTCTAGAATGGAAACGCCGTGCGGCGACGACGACAAGGACATGCAGATAGCGAAAGCCATCCTAGTTCAGTACCTTGCGCTCACTAAATCAGCGCGCGACGACGACGACGCCGACAACGAAGACGACGACGACAGCGGCCGTGACGAAGGCGACCTCCGACAACTACGAGAAGACGGACGACGAAGACGATAACGACTACGAGCACACCCGAACGGACGACGGCGACGACGACAGCTTCCTCTACGAATGCAACGACCATGACGTGGACGAGGACGAGGATGATGACGAAAACGAAGAGAACGACAACAACAACAATACCGCCCCGCAATTCCGCAAAACACTAGAACCACGCCCCCCCCCCCCGCACCGGTGAGCCAGGGCTTACCCTCATCCTCGAGAAAAATGGGAGAGGGGGGTAGCTTCGCCCCCCCCGAACCCTGGCAACTCCCAGATTCGCAAAGATGGGGGGAGGGGGGAGATTCGGAAGCCTCCCCCCATGCTTACCTTGGTAACCCAAAATGAAGGGTAGGGGAGCTTCCGAAGCTCCCTCCCCCTAAAGCAGGGCGGGCGTGTAGCTTCCGAAGCCCTCCCCCCTTTGCTCAGGGCAGCCCGAGCTCACCCTGGCACCAAAATGGAGGGGGGGGCTTCTGAAGCCCCCGTACCACCCTCTTCAGTTCCCCAGGTTGCTGAGTGGGGGGCCCTGGGTTGCTGAGGGTGGGGAGGGGAGCAGCTTCGGACACCACCACCCTGGTGGAAGGAGGGGGGGTAGCTTGAAGCTGCCCCCCCCCTTTGTTTTTCGCGTCTCGCGCCGTGCGCCCTTTCGTAGCAATGGTAGTCGCGGCGGCTAAGTCGAACCCGATGAAACGGGAGAACTGAGCTTGCATCACGATGCCATCTAGGACTTCTGGTCGACGATGATGGCGATGAAATGATGGACGAGGGGAAGGGATGAGTAGGGCAATTGGGCCCAAAGAGTTTTACGAAGACCAAATACGCACCTTCGCTGGCACCCGTCGGCCCGCTTCTCCTCCTCCTCCTCCTCCTCCTCCTCCTCCTCCTCCTCCCCGTTCTCCCGATCATTCCTCAAGTCGTCGTCACCATCTTGTTCTGTCCTTCGTTCCTCTATTCCTGTTTCTGCTGATTATCCTGATGTTCTGAGTACTCCCTGTCCTCCCCGTCCTCCTCCTCCTCCTCCTCCTCTTTCTCTTCCTTTTTTCATGTATTTCCCTTATACATAACTCCTCCCTGTCGCACCCCGAGGCGGGTCGAGAGGGCGGGCAAGGCGGTTCACCTGAGACTTCCTCACCATTGTGACTCTGAAGCTTCAACATTGGCAACAGTCTCACACATGGAGGGCGGGTGTTTTTTGTTTTAAATGTGGCTCTCACCTGAACGCCACGTAGATTCTTCTTTAACATTGGCAAACAAGTTTCACGGATCGAGGGCGGGTCCTAAAAATCTGGCTCTCGCCGTAGCGCCGCGCACATTCGCTTTTGAAACATTGCGAGAGCTGCACCGATCTCGCCTGAGCTCCGCGCACATTCGTTTTGAACACGTGCACGAATTTGAACGAACTGAGGGCAATTGGTTCTCAACATGTGGCTCTCGCCTTAGCGCCACGCACACTTGCCTCAAACGTTTGCACACATGAAATGTTCACGGGTTGAGGGCGGGGCGTTGCCAAAATGTGGCTATCGCCCGAGCGCCGCGCACACTCGTTCAAACCAATTTGCCAAAGCTTCAAGTGTCGATGGCGGGTGGTGTTCAACATGTGTCTCTCGCCTGAGCGCCGCGCACATTCGCTTGCAACACTGATAAAGCAGCTGCGCTGCACGGGTTGAGGGCGGGCCGTTTTCAACATGTGGCTCTCGCCTTAGCGTTTGGCCCGCTTCAGGGTCTTCACCCGCTTTCCCCACGAGCCAGCTTCCTCAATGGGAATGAGCCCTTGCAGGAGCCTGTGAAGAGGGAGCTTGGAGGGAGAAATGTGTCCAACATCGTTGGTGAGTCTTGGGTTTGCACTGGTCCTCCTCCTCCTTCTCCGCGTCCTGCCCGTTCAGCCTAGGACCTCCCTTCAACCACTCTCCGTCCCCTCCTTGTCAAGCGCTCCTCCCCCTCGCCTGCTACTCCATCCATTCTCTTTCGGGAATCGCCTTCTGTTTCAATCACACTTAGGTGCCCGCCATCGCGCTTACACGGATTGGGCGTGTTACAATGCATGCTGTTGTCTGGAAGGGTGTTGTGTGCTTTCTACGCCGCCCCCAACCCCGCCCCCCGCACGCGTCATTTGAACATCGCCACCTCTGACATGATGTTCGGGCGCGCGTTTCGGCTCCAAGCGGCCAAGCTCGGCACCCGAGCGGCTTCCAAGGCAGTCAAGGTGAGACCAAGGCAACCGACGATGGCCAAAGACGGCTCAAGAGGCTCCCAAGACTGCCTCACGACGGCCCGAGAGGCTCTTCAAAACGACCCAAGAGGGCTTCATAAGGCCATCCAGGAGATCCCGAGGAGGCCAACACCATTGCCCCTTCGATGTGTGCAAACTTTTGGGATTCTCGCATATTTGGCTGTTGGCAGCCCACTACGGCCCAAGAGGCTCCCCATATAGCTCGAAGCCACCCCATGAATTTGCTTGAGGCTCCGAAGAGGGCCTTGAGTCGGCTTAAGAGGATCCCGAGATGGCCCAAGAGCATCCCAAGAGGGCTCCGAGACGACCCTAAAGCGCTCCGAGCTGGCACCAAGACGGCCCAGACAAGCCCCACGACGGCTTCCGACGGAGTCAGACGGGCCAATCTCCCCGAGACGGCCCAAGAGGTCCCAAGAGGCCCCCAGGAGGCTCCCAGGAGGCCTCCAGGAGGCCCCCACGAGGCCCCAAGAGGGCCCCGAGAAGCTTTCGCTTCCTCGTCCAAAGTGTCTCCCCCTCCTCTGCTCCACTTCTCCTCTCCTCCTCCTCCTCCTCCTCCTCCTCCTCCTCCTCCTCCTCCTCCTCCTCCTCCTCCTCCTCCTCCTCCTCCCTACCGCGCGGACGAAGACGACGTCGGGTTTACGATCCTCCCCAGTTCAGACCGCTCGCTGAACTGCCACTGGGTGCGAACTCGACATCATTCCTACCGCGCGGACGGAGGCGAGGTCGAGTTCATGACCAGTTATTATTATACCCAGTGTCGGACGTGCGCTCTTCCTACACTCAGTCGGTTCCTGCAGCGCTGTTGCACAGGCACGGTGGCGGGGTTTGCCGCAGGCAGCTGGATAGCAATATGTCACATCAGTTGGTTGAAACACCTATCAACATCCATCTGTTTGAGAAAGCACACGCTAGCATGGCAGCACAGTTTCAGCACCTGCTGCAGTCACAGGAATCAAGCTTCTTGACTGCTGCGAACACGATCATATAACATGTGGAAGTCCCCTTCGCACGAACCCGGCCCAGCCTGGAGATCTCCAGTCTGCTTTGTCACGACGACCTCCAAACCAGCGAATCTTCAAACAAGGGCATGACGCGAGACGGTGCGATCATTGTAGCCTGTGGGTCGCTAAGTTGCGTCAAGACGTATTGGCAGTGTGCTTCACCCATCCCCCTTTGAACGTCTCCAGGAGCCGACGAGCTGACGAAGGAGATGAGTGTGGACATTGGCAGCACCCCCATAATTTCCCGCATATCACGCCCACATGTCTACACCATGCGCTGCCGGCAATGATATCTCGCCCCCGATTCCCACATTGCATTGGTTCTGAGTTGTCTGAACACATGTGCAAACTCACCCGCTCAAGCGAACGCAAACTAGTTACACACAATGTATGAGCCTAAACACCAGTCATCCTTCTTTTGCCTCCTCCTCTTCCCCTCAAAGTCCCCAAACCCCCGTTTCTCCCCTCACGTCCCCCCTCATGCCACCCCGTCCCCGAATGGAGGAGCAGAAGGAGAGGAGGAGCATCACCAGCGGCATAAACAAGAGCAGCTGGAAGAGCGAGAGAGAGAGAGAGGAGAAAGGAGGAGGCACAGCGTAATACGAGGCAAGGGGGGATGATGATGATGAAGATGATGATGAAGATCGAGATGAAGATGAAGATGAAGATTAAGATTAATATTAAGATGAAGATGAAGATGAAGATGATGATGATGATGATGAAGATGAAGATGATGATGATGATGATGATGATGATGATGATGATGATGATGAGGAGGAGGAGGAGGAGGAGGAGGAGGAGGAGGAGGAGGAGGATGAGGAGGAGGAGAAGGCGGAGGCAGGCAGGTCGTGGAGGAGGAGGAGGAGGAGGATAGGTACAAGAGGGGAGGAGGAGGGGAGGAGGAGGAGGAGGAGGAGGAGGAAGAGGAGGAGGAGGAGGAAGACGAGGAGGAGGAGGAAGAGGATGACAAAGCGAGGAGGAGGCGGCGGAGGCGGAGGAGGCGGCGCCGCCCCCCTGGCCGCCCTGGGCCTGCTGGCCAGGCTCGGGTCTGAACTCAGAGTCATTGTCGGCTCTCCTGCCCCGCCCCCTCCCCCCTCGGCGCGCGCGCGACAGGCCAACGCGGCGCGGCGCGGCGTCGGGAGAGAGGGAGGGGCGGGGCAGGGAGAAGGGAGGCGAGGGGGAGGAGGAGGAGGAGGAGGAGGAGGAGGAGGAGGAGGAGGAGGAGGGGCCAGACTCTGGAGGAAGAGGAGGAAGAACAGGAAGAGGAGAAGGAGGAGGGATGAGGAAGAAGAGGAGGGGGAGGGAGAATGAGGAAGAGGAGGAAGAAGCGGGGAAGAGGGAGAGAGGTTTCGATCGAAGTGCCTGATGAAGGGAGCTCGCGGAGCATTTCCGAAAAAGGGGGACCAGAGTAGTTAAACCCAGGTTGTGCCAATGCTGCGCTACACACTGCCAACCCAAGGTCCCTCCTCATGAGCCCCTGTATGCAATCCTCTTCACTGTGAGGAGCGCCCCATAGATTTGCCATTCAAGCGATGACGCCGTTTTGAAAAACGAGCTGTCCTGCTTCCTTACGTATTGCTGTACGGAATACGAAGAGGTAAGCTCATACAATTCGAGGGGGCGTCCGCCGGGCACCCCGCCTTCAAAGTAAAGTGAAGCGCACTCCATCCGTGCAGCTGTTCCGCTCTCCGCTGTGTCTGAACTTCTGACCCCGGAAGCAAAAGATAAAAAGCGAGAGCCCCATGCCGGAACATGAATCGGCTGTGCATAATGGTACTGTTGGTCGCACAGCCGATAAGAAGTCTGGAGCGACACCCCCCTTTTGAGCAGTAGCCACATTGATGGATGTGGAGATCAATCGACACCGGGATCGCTGCATAGAGATCGATCGCGAATTCGACCCGAAGCCGATTGCAAGCCGAAAGCTTCACCCATCCGCCCGACCTACTTATCACCCGACTGGTGGTTTGTCAGTGGTCCTAGAGGTCGGGCAGACAGCAGAAAGCAACAAGCAGATAATAGAGCACGCAGAGAACCGTATCCAACATCCGTTGCACTCGCCCACTGCTAACGAGCGGCCCCTACACGGGGGAACAAACAATGACATATGCAAACTCGGAGGTCCGCATTGATTCCTCGGATCGGCGCTGAACCCCCCTAGCTGGAGCGCGGAGCGCGCCTGGAGCGGCGCCGGAGGCGGCGCCTGGAGGCCCCAGCGCCGACCCGAGGAATCCACCAGAATATCTATGTTCATGTTATTGTTTGTTCCACTACCTACACTGTGCGTGAGAACTGATTGGGTCTGTCTCGGGTGCAACGCACCCGAGGAGGAGATGGAGGAGGAGAAGGAGGCGCAGGGGGAGGGGAGCAGGAGGAGGGGGAGCAGGAGGAGGAGGAGGACGAGGGGGAGGAGGAGGAGGAGGAGCAGGAGGAGGGGGAGCAGGAGGAGGAGGACGAGGGGGAGGAGGAGGAGGAGGAGGAGGAGGAGGAGGAGGAGGAGGAGGAGGAGGAGGAGGAGGACAACTCTCGCCAACGCTGGTCACATGAGCCGTGCCCAGCTTCAGCGGCGGTTCTTGCAAGCTCGCGCCTCGCCCTGCGTGACGCGCGGCCATCTTCGCACTCCGGCGACGCCGCCCCCCCCCCGGACGAGCTCAACTCTTTCCCTACTCGGAACACATATGCATACACACCATGTGTACACTTGTTCATGCACGTGCTTTCCTATGTTCACATTGTTTATACATGTTATATATACACATATCTACACACATATTATATATAACTATGCGCATACCTTATCGGCGTGTGTCAGAGGCGTCGTCGCCGCTCCCCCTCAAGCGTTCCAGCCGGAGGGACATCGAGCAACGTCGCACTCGCGCCGAAAAGGAACCCTTGCCCTCTGATCCTTCCCCGCCGGAGGGGGGAGGTGTGGGGGGTCGTTAGGCCTCCTAGATTGGGTCCGAGGATCGCGCCGCATCGCCGACGCGTCGGCGATGCATCGGCGACGTCGGCGGTACATCGGAGACGCCAGCGCGGGGAAAATCGGGCTCCACATCGAGCCGCGTTGGCGATGCAGCGGCGATGCACAGGCGATGCATCGCGATCCTCTGACCACATCTACTCGGACCCATCTAAGAGGCCCAGAAAGATAGTTCTGGAGGGGTCGCGGAAAGGTTGGGGGGAGTCCCGTGTCCCCCCTCTGGGGGGGAGCACCCCTCCCTGGGAAAAGCTTCCGGCTCCAGAGCGTCAGCGTCGTCGTCATCGCCGTCGCCGTTCCCTTTCAGAGTCGGCGGCAGTAGCCGCAAGGCCTTCGCAAACAACATTCCGCTTCCTATGTTCTTGCGCGCCGGGGCTAGGAAAACCACCTCCTCCCCCCCAAAACGGGACCCCCAGGATCCCGAGTTTCTGGGACCCCCTGCACACCCTTGCCAAAGGTCCTCCGGCTCGTCCCGGACCTCCAAGGTCGCTTAGCCAGGTCTTGCCATCAGACGCCAAGCGATCAGAGCGGCGATCAGAAAGGCCAAAGAGAGACCCGAGACAGCACAAGAGCGCTCCAAGAAGGACCCAGATGGCCTCCAGAGGAACCCAAGACTGCCCAGGAGCCTTCAGTCCCTTAAGGAAACGCGCATTTTCAGCATACTCGCGGCTCGGGTCTTAGCAGCGTCCACAACAGCCAAAAAGGCCTCCAGCATCGCCCCAAAACAGCCCAAAAGAAACCCAAGAAAACGTCTAGATAACCCAAATGGCCCCAAGACTGTCCAAGGGAACCCCGAATGGGCCGAAAAGAAGCCCAACCAGCCCTCACGAGGTCCCCAAGTGAAGCCCAAGAAGACCATGGGAGGCCCCCAAAACGGCAATGGGATACCACCATGAGGGCCCATGAAGCCCCCGTAAGGTCCCTATAGAGGGCCCGAGTTCCCCAACACGGCCCAAGATGGCGCCAGGACGGCTCGAGGAGGGCCCCAAGCTGGCCCACCATGGCTCCAACACGGCCCACACGGCCCTTTCCACCAAACTGACCCGAACCCTGGGTTCGCAACCACATTTCCCGGAAATCTGTTGCGAACCCGGTATCTGGTGCATTCCCCAAGAATTGTTTACTTTCGCGTGCCCCGTTGCGACCCGCTGCATCATGACATCCTTGGCTTGGCATTGCTTTGTACTTTGCGGCATTGCTTGACACTGTGGCGTTTTGCTTGGCATTCATTCGCGTGGCTTGCCATCCTTCGGTGCGGCGCAACCGCAATTCTTCGCCGTCCCCCGACGGCGCCATCTCTTTCCCTCATCCTGTTCCTCTCTGGGTCCTCCTCCTCCTCGTTCTGCCGCTCCACCACTCGTCCTCCCCCACATCCGCTTCTCTTTCCTCGCTCCCCGAGATTCCCTCCCTCCTATTTTTCGCCCTCCACTCGGCGCCTTTCGGGAGCCCCCGGAGGCCCGGGAAGGGACACGGACCGCTCGAACTTTCGAAGACTTCCGAAAACCACCGCAGGGAAGGGGCCAGATTTGCAAGGCCACTCGGGATGGCGCCAACGACCAACATAAGCAAAGGGAAATAACTACATGATAACGAATGATGAAGCATATCATGATCATAACGACGACCATGGTACTGATGATGCTGCTTGTGTTCTTTCTGGAAATGCCCATGACGATGATGATTACGACGACGACCATGATGCTGATGTTGAGGCTGAAGCGTGTGCTTATGATGATGAGGATGGTTTGTACGATCGCTGTGATGACTCCGTCAACGGGGGATATGCTGATGGCGATCATTGTAACGATTTTGATTGTGACGATGGTGGTGCGGATATTGAGATAATGATTTGGGCGATGATGACAAGTACGATGATGACTTGGATGCTGCACGTGGCGGCGTTCACGATAATTATGTTTTAATGATTTGCTTCTGGACGTTGATGCTGATTAGGGTGATGGCGCTTATTGCGACAATGCGCATGTTGTTGGTGTGGATAGTGGTGACAAGCTAGCTGTTGATGGTAAGTTTTGCTCCCGCCATGGACCTCGACCCCCAGAGATCCCCGGAGGTCCCCGGAGGTCCCCGGAGATCCTGTGTTCGTGGTGGTGATGCCGATGATGATGATGATGATGATGATGATGATGATGATGATGATGATGATGATGATGATGATGATGATGATGGCGACAACGATGATGATGAGGCCGAAGTTTCTGCTTATGACGATAAGGAGGGTTTGGACGATCGTGGCGAAGATTTTGTCGACGGGGGTACTGCTGGTGATACTCATTGCAAGCGAAAAAGCAAGAAGGCTAACAAAAACATGTTGTAGTTTCAAACGCTGTTGGCTATTTGGTGCCAGACGATAGCAGACGATAACACACGAAAGCAGACGATAACACACGATAACAGACGATAGAAGACGATAGCAGACGATTGCACCAAAGTGAAATGTTGCCTCCTGTTTGCCCCTTGCGATTCCTGCCGGCCCCAAAGCTGGTTCCGTGCTATCGTCATTTTTCGTCTGCAGCGGGTCCTGGCAGCTCCCAGCTGGTCCTATCGTCTGCTATCGTCCGCTATCGTCTGCTGCAGACGATAGCCGACGACAGCCACCCCCGGCGGCCCCTATCAGATCCCATCGTCTGCTATCGTCTGCAGCGTTTCTCTATCGTCTGCAGCGGGCCCTGGCAGCCCCTAGTTAGCCCTATCGTCTGCTATCGTCTGCTGCAGACGGTAGCAGACGACAGCCACCCCTGGCGGCCCCTATCAAATCCTATCGTTTGCTATCGTCTGCAATCGTCTGCACCGGTACTTGGCGGCCCCCAGCTGGACCTATTGTCTGCTATCGTCTGCAATCGTCTGCAGCGGTTTCTGGCGGCCGCTAGCTGGTCCTATCGTCTGCTATCGTCTGCTGCAGACGATGGCAGACGATTGCCACCAGTGGCCCTAATGCGTCTATCGGTCCCTGCAGTCGATGCCCATCCAACAACGATGCCCAGGCAAATGATCTTGCTCAGGGAGAGGATGGGGAGTGGAGCGAGGAGGGGGAAAGAGGATGAGGAGAAGGAGGAAACCGAGGGGGAGGAGGAGAGCGAACGGAATTGGGCAGCGGGAGGAGTATGAGGAGTACGAGAATGAGATGGGGGAGGAGAAGTGGAGTGTGAGTGTATATGGGTGTGCGCCTGAGTGTGAGTGTGTATGAGCTTAAGCTTCTAGGAGTGTGAGTGGTCTGTTTGTGAATGGGTCTGTGTGTGTCGATGCCCATCCAGCAACGATGCCCAGGCGAATGATATTGATCAGGGAGAGAATGGGGAGGGGAGCGAGGAGGGGGAAAGAGGATGAGGAGAAGGAGGAAACCGAGGGGGAGGAGGAGAGCGAACGGAATTGGGCAGCGGGAGGAGGATGAGGAGTACGAGAATGAGAGGGCGGAGGAGAAGTGGAGTGTGAGTGTATATAAGTGTGCGCCTGAGTGTGACTGTGTATGAGCTTAAGCTTCTAGGAGTGTGAGTGGTCTGTTTGTGAATGGGTCTGTGTGTGTGTGTCGATGCGCATCCAGCAACGATGCCCAGGCGAATGATCTTGATCAGGGAGAGAATGAGGGGAGCGAGGAGGAGGAAAGAGGATGAGGAGAAGGAGGAAACCGAGGGGGAGGAGGAGAGCGAACGGAATTGGGCAGCGGGAGGAGTATGAGGAGTACGAGAATGAGAGGGCGGAGAAGAAGTGGAGTGTGAGTGTATATGAGTGTGCGCCTGAGTGTGACTGTGTATGAGCTTAAGCTTCTAGGAGTGTGAGTGGTCTGTGTGTGAATAGGTCTGTGTGCTATTGAGTTTGATTGTGCTTGAGTCTGGGTGTGAGTGAGTCCGAGTGCGAATGAGTCTGAGTATGAGACAGATATGAGTGAGTGCGAGTGTGGGGGAGTCTGAGTGTGAGTGCAGGTCGGGCCTTGAATCTGGAGTTTGAGTGCGTCCCGGACCGAGTTCCAGCGGTCCCAGGGCCCGAAAACAGCTTACATCTGGCCTTACCGGACTCGCTGGACTCACCCGACCCACCGGCGCCAGCGGAGGAGGCACCGGACTCACAGGACCCGTCGGACCCACCAGACTCGCCGGACTCACTGGACTCCCCAGACCCGCCGGACTCACCGGACTCGCCGGACTCACCGGACCCACGGGATCCGCCAGCAGCGCCGGATCCAGCCGGGCCCACCGGACTGGGGCAGCAGGGTGCACCATCCTCGCGGAATGCCGAGAACTCCTCCCTCCCTTCCCCTACGGTGCGGCCCAGCCTTCCCATCCGAACGCGTGGAGGGCACTCTGCCCTGGCCAGAGCTGCGGCCTTCTGTTGGATGGGGGCAGGCGCGGGGCGCTTGGAGAGTCTGCCGCCGTTCCCATGGCTCCTCCACTGTCATCCCCTGCACCTTCCCCAACCCTCCTGTCTGATGACGTCTTGGGCACCTTGGCTTCGTCGGGCTCGATCTCAATCGAGTACAGCCTGCCAACAAAAAACACAGCGTGGACCCGCTACTCCTCGTGAAATGCAGCAGGTCCAACACCACAGGGGGGGAGATTGGTTGGCAACAGCGGGCTGGCAAACGTGTGAAGGACCGGGGGGGAAACAAGAGCGACTCCTAAAACAATGCGGCCCATGCACATGTTTAGCCGTGTGCATGTGCTGCTTTTGAGGCTCCCGACACCGTGTGGTACCAGACCCGACGGCGGCCTCGACATCCACAAAGACCTCGCCGCAGGGTCCGTCACCACACGGTCTTGTGACCTCGGAGGCCCCCGTCCCCCGAGACGTCCTCGGAGAACGACCCAAGTCCCCAAAGCCGTGCGGTGACCCCGAATCCCCACCGACTTATCACGCGGCGGTGTGGTCACCACCCCGTCTTGGGGGCCCCGGTGTCTGCACTCGCGTGCTGCTGGCCCTGGCCGCAACTGCTACACACACGCGGATATGCTGAGCTTGCGGAGGGGGCAAACAACGGACCCCCCTCTTCTCGCCTCGGTCTCCCACCTCCGTCCGTCCGTGCTCATTCCTGCCGACACTCTCGCGTACGCCTTTTTTTGTATCCTCCTCCACAACGTACCTGCTCCTACTTGCTCCTCCTCCTCCTCCTTCTCCTCCCTCCTGCTGCTCATCATCCCCCTCCCTGCCCCCCTCTTTCCTTCCTCCCTTGCCCCCTCCTTCGCCCCCCCCCCCCCCCTGTCTCTTCCTTGTACCACCCTTACGAGAAGTGAGCAGCGAGTGTGGCCATACGTTGGAGAGTCCTCGGGCAATGTGCGGCTCGGGGGCAATGAACGCGCTTAGCCAAAGAACTTGGCGCCCGCCGGCGCCCGACACGGCCAGCGAGAGAGGCTTAGTACAGTACTGGAGTCGGCGAGGCAGTGCGGGCTGTCTGCACGCATGCCGCCTGCCCAACAGCTTCACCAGGGCGCCGTTGTGCCTCCTTCTGGAGAGCAGCATCGGGTACTTCCCGATGATGTCCTGTGGCGGTCGCGCCCCGATGCGCGAATGTGCTTTCACATGACAGAGTAAGAATCTTGTCTGCGGTGTAAACGTGGTATATGTATTTATACAGGCATGTATGCATATATATATATATATATATATATATACATATATGTAGACATGCACACATGTATGTATGAACGTACATACTTATATAAAGTCATGGGTACATACATGTACACATATATAGACATACAAACGTACATGCATACATACTTGCATGCATCCATACATACATACGTGCATACACTCATACACACATGCACACATACATACATACATGCATGCATGCATACATACACACATACATACACATATGCATGCGTGCGTGCATACATACATGCATGCCCACATACATGCCTATAATGGCACATATGCGCACATACATACATGCATACATGCAGACATACATGCACACATACATGCATCCATACATGCACAAACACTTACAACATACCTGCCTACATACATTCATACGCGCGTGCATCCTTTCATACACACATGAACACATACACACCTACACATCCATCAATACATGCATACGATCATACATACATGCACACATCCATCCATACATGCATACGATCTACATAGCGACATACATATATACCTGCATACATACATGCATACGTACATACATAGATAAATACGTGCGTGCGTGCGTGCACTCATACATACACACACATATATATATGTATGTATGTATACATGCATGTTTGCATGCATACGCACATATATATATATATATGTATATATAAACATATATACATATATATATATGCATACATGTGTATGCATATACATATATGTACACACGCATACACTACGCACACACATCTTCAAATATCCGCAAAGACAAGCAAGAAAAGCCGCGCGGGGCGAGTCCAATCGCTGGGCTCATGCCGGATCGGAGCAGCGCGGATCCGCAGAAGCGCAGCGCGGCAGATGACAAAGAAGAGGGCGATGTGTCCACAGCGCGTGCCACACGGGCTCCAGGCGTGGCCCGCAGCAGCCCCCCCCCTACTGGGCAGCAGGGGCTGCGAACGCTAACGCAGCCTCAGAAGACGAGGTGGCCGGGCCAGAGGCTGGATGCCGGGTCCAGAATGCCACAAATGAAGCAGCGTTGAAGGCCACAGGGCTGAACCTAAATGGTGCTTTTCGTTTCCGTTTTGTTTTCGTTTTCCCTTGTTTTGTCTTCAATCCGCCTTTACCGCAGAAAGAAATCGAAACGAAAACGGCCCACGAAATCGCCAAAACACTGTTTAGATCCAGCCCTGGAAGGCCAGAGGCCGTAATAGGGTCTGCGGAAATTGCGCGTCAACCGGTTGGGGGCCGCGTCGATCTCTGAGCCAAGGGGCAGGGCTGCCGGAACCCACAGAAATCGTACGCAGGAGACGCACGGGCCCAAAAGGTAGCATTCGCACGCGAAGATGTCATCGTCGAGTGGCCCACGTGCAAGTGCAACAATGACACAAACATGCGCCAACTACACCTTCCACGCCAAGCGTTGCAACAAAAATGACAGCGGCAGTGCAGCCGCGCGAAAGGCGGGCCAGGCGCGGCCGCGCGACACACCTGTTTCGAACAGGGCGGAGGCGCTACTTCGGCTGACAAGTCCGACTCGGAACAACCGCGTAAATTTAGGTGCTAAGCGAAGCGGGAGCCAGGAACGGCAAACCGACCTTGCGGCACGCACACAAACATCGTTTCCCCATCTAGCGCCGTGAAATCAAGACCGCGATGCATGCTAATGGATGGCGCGCGGCACATACAACCGTCCGTGAGCCTCAGGAGAGCTCAAGCGGCTGGCCATGTAGTGCTGCCCGCTGCGGGTTGCACGACAGGGATCGCCATCACTGTTGGCCCCGACGCACAAACACAAAAACACATACGCACGCACTTTGTTGTCGGTAGCGGCCTCGCGCGCAGCGACGCTGCGGAGCAAACGTGCAAACAGTGCGCGCGGCGGCTGGACCCTCAAGAATCACTTCGGATGCGGTCCTGCCGCCATCAGCCATCTGGGCGCGGATAGCGCGGAGGCAACACGCACCCTGTGGGAGATACCCGCACGGCAGCATGAGGTATGGAGAACACACACAACACACACACGACACACACACACACACTTTTTGGTCGGCGGGGCGAGAGCGAACCTGTTCCGCTAAAAGCTAGGCGGGCTACGCACAGATTTAATTAAGGAGATAGGGCACAGGAAGGCGGGGCCTCAGGCGGCCAGAGCGGGCGGAGCCCGTGGTGCAGGCGGTGCCGAAGGGCTTGCACAGGAAAAGGTACGCCGCGGACAGGGACCGGGGGCGAAGACCTGGAGGGCACACCACACACACACACGCACGCACACTTTTCCTCGGCGGCTGTGCGCACGGCGGTACAGCGGTGACAGTCGTTGGCGACTGCAAGAGAGAAGCCAACGCGCCAGGCCGGGCGAAACGAAACGGAGGGAGGGACCATGAAAACGGCGGCCAGGACGGCACGCACACAGACACACACATACACAACAACAACAACAACAACAACAACAACAACAACAACAACAACAACAGCAACAATCACTTTACCCGAACGCTCAGTGTTCTCACCAGTGCCAGGGTTTTCATGCGACGCCAGCCAATACCCCCACTTTGTGGGGGGGCAATGCAAGCTCTACCAAATATCCACACGACTCTTCGCCACCACCCACACCCAGCTTCCCGCCCTATGACGTTCGGACACTTCACTTCGTGGCCTGCGGACGACCGTGGCTACTATTCAGGGCCCCGCGGCCGACGACGACGGCGTGCGCGCGCGCAAAGAAAAAACGAATGTGTCCCGCATGGTATTATTTGACAGGGATGATGGCCCTGGCAGGTGCGCAACCGTTGTCGCAGAAGTTCGAAAAGTTGCTCGCAAAAGCCCGTTTGACAGAAATGTTTAAAAAGTGTTGGGTTTCCTACGAATCCGCAAGAGCGCGCGGGATGAGATGTTGACATTTTTTTGTTGAAAAACCATTGGTTTTTTGATGTTTTTATGTTAAAATCGCTCCGAACACTAAGCTTTTGGAAGGATTTCGTCTTGCGCGCGCGAATGTCCACTTTACCTTATTTTTTGCAAGGGATTCTTGAAATTTGATTATATTAGAACAAGAAATGTCATTTTATAGTGTTTTTTGCAAGGGAAAGCGGGGGGGAACAAAACAACCGGATCTTGATCACATCGAATTACCTGAGGCTTCCTCACGAAAATGATGAAAATGTAGCTGCGGCCTAGGCGGCGCAGGGGGGCCGTGCACCAGGGGCCCCAACAATAATTATTCTTTAGAATTAATAATGTTCAACAACAACAACCATTTTAAGGCTGTACGCTCTTACTTGCCCGCGAGTCATTCAACACGTATACCCTACACCCTCGATACCCGCCCTCTTCGTCTTCGATCACACCCCTTTCGGGGGGATTATTTCTCTTTGCTGGGGCCGGCGGGCTTAGACGTACGGGCAAACCGGAACGGGCGGACAATCCTTCGGGGGCGTACATCTCTCTGCCCGCCATTGGAATTGGCGCGGGCCCTGCAAGAGGAGGAGGGGAAGAACGAGGGAGAGTGGGAGGAAGGGGAGGGGGAAGGACGAAGGAAGAGGGAAGATACCATGTTGTGAAGGCGTCCTTGGCGCGCGCGTGGTTCCTGAGCGCCGAAACGCAATTCCAGAATAATTTGTGAGGACGTCGCACGCGAGAGCGCAGTCCTGAGTACATTGTGAGGAAATCTCAGGCGGAAGCGGGGGCCCTGACTAAGTTGCGAGGAAGTCTCAAGCGGGAGCGCCGTTCCTGAGCAAATTGCACGGAAGTCTCAGGCGGGAGCGGGGGTCCTCACTAAATTGCGAGGAAGTCTCAGGCGGGAGCGCCGTTCCTGAGTCAATTGCGCGGAAATGTCAGGCAGGAGCGGGGGTCCTGAGTAAAATTCGAAGAAGTCTCAGGCGGGAGCGCCGTTCCCACGTAAATTGCACGGAAGTCTCAGGCGGGAGCGGGGGTCTTGATTACATTGCGAGGAAGTCTCAGACGGGAGCGCCTTTCCTGAGTAAATTGCGCGGAAGTCTCAGGCGGGAGCGGGGGTCCTGAGTAAAAATCGAGGAAGTCTCAGGCGGGAGCCGTTGTTGTTGTAGCCCGGGGGGCAGGGGCACAGTTTGAGCAGGAAGACTTTCCTTCAGAAAAAAACGAGGTGCGAGCCCCGGGGGTGGCACTTCAATCGAAAAAAATCAATGTGCACCGGTGGGGGGGATCAACAATAATTATTCTTCAAGAATGAGAGTTCAACAACAACAACAACAACAACAAGGAAAAGGCGCGCGTGAGAGCCCCGTGAGCTCTAGCCGTCCGGACCCGCCCTCGCCTTATTGCGAAGGCTGCGCTCAGAGCCCCGTGGACGCATTCAGACCCCCGCCCCAGCAACAGCAACAGCAACCAGCAACCCCCCCCCAAAAAAAAACTGGAACTCCCTTGGACTCCCTTACGGACATTGACGTGGTCCTGTGGGTGAAGAACGTATGCGCGCCGGCGTGCCGCCGCTTCAATACATATCCGATACAGACTGTATGGGATCCTATACAGATCCGATACAGACTGTATGGGATCCTGTAGGGATCCGATACATGACTGTATAGGTTCCTATACAGATCCGATACAGACTGTATGGGATCCTGTAAAGATCCGATACAGACTGTATGGGATCCTATACAGATCAGATACAGATTGTACGGGATCCTGTAGATATGCGATACAGACTGTATGGGATCCCACACAGATCCGATACAGACTGTATGGGATCCTGTAGAGATCCGATACAGACCGTATGGGATCCTATACAGATCCGATACAGACTGACTGTATAGGATCCTATACTGATCCAATACTGACTGTATGGGATCCTGTAGAGATCCGATACATGACTGTATGGGATCCTGTAGAGATCCGATACTGACTGTATGGAATCC